GCCCCGGAGCCGCTCCTCATTTTCTTTAAGCCCGGGCCCGCCGATGGGCCCTGGCTCCCCTTTCGCTCCCGTCAGGCCCTGCAAGGAGAGACGGCAGGAGGTTATTGCCAGCGCTTCTGCTCTCCAACCAGATGTTTTTGCTGGGGCTTTTTCCACCACGAGGGATCAAGGGTTATTAGCGGGGAATTTGTGCTTGCCACTGCTGTGCACATCACCCAGCAAACCTGAAGATGAAGCTGTACCTGGACCCAAGCCCCGATGGCACAGAGAGCCTCACAGTGATGCTCCACAGCCCCCGTGAGCTGCCCTGCTCCGAGACCCCGTGCCGGGGCTCGGCAGGGACCCTCGCGCCACAGGGCACATCCAGCACGGCTGCCCCAGCCCCGGCAGAGGCACAAAGGGAGCTCGGCCCATCCGCGATCCCGTTTATATCAACTCTGAGTCACTCCCTGGCTCCCCCGTTTCCCACCCCAGTGCATTTGAGGGCTGCGCCTGTGCCGGAGTTTGGATCCCTGCAGCTGATGGCTTGAGCTTCACCCACGGGCTAATTTCTGCACGCTGCCAGGGACGCGGGGACGGCCCCTCGCTCAGCCCTGCTCTGCTCAGCGTCCCTATTCAAAGGACCTGAACTCTTTTGCAGGCAGATTAGCCTGGGTGAATAATGCATGCTTATAATGACAGTTATTATTCTATTCATTTATTATTGAAGAATAACTAAACCCCAAAAGATTTATGAAGTGCCATCCAGAGACACAAAAGAGGACCCTGTAGTTTGGGTTTCCTTCTGATGAACAAGTAAATGTCTGACGCTTGCAGGCACTTACCCGTGCAGTGCTGCACTGGGGACGGGGGGCAGGCACCCAACCCAAACCTCCCTGGGCATCCATCATGCACCCCTGCGTTCCCCAGCCAGGGGAGCATGGGGCCAGGAGCCAGCCAACAAGCATCACGGCATCAAGGCAGGGCAAGGAGGCAGCTCCGTCCCCATTCTGCCTCTGCCCCGGGCTGTGCTTCTGCCAGGGAGGGGATAGCGGGGGAAGTCACCGATGCCACCTACGTGGGTGCCAAGGGGGTGGCTCCAGGGGAGCCGTGGGATTGCTCCAGATTTATGTTGGAGGAAAGGAGAACTGAACCAGGGCTCAGGACAGCAGCTGCAGCAAAGGACAAGGAAAAGCCTTTTCGTGTTCAGGGGTGTCGGTGCCATGGTTTTCCTGGCACAGCTCTCACCCTGCGTGGGGTGGAAGGGGGACGCGCTGTCGGAGCCCGGGCAGTGGGAGGGGGTGGCAGCAGCCCTGCCAGAGCTCTGCCTGTTTCCTGTAGTGATTCAAAAGGTGCTTTCGGCTCCCCCACGAAGGGATGTTGGCACTTTCTTATGTGCGACAGAAAAGGATCCCTGCGCCGGGGGTAAGAGGAGTTTGCTGAGACCCTGCTGCGACCCGGGGGCTGCGGCCAGGGACGCCGCGGGGGGGACGGGGGTCGGTACTCACATCGATGCCCGGCTTCCCTGGGGGCCCATCTGGACCGGGGGCTCCGGGCTCGCCCTTGGCACCCTTTAAAAGAGAAGAGGCATAGGGGCAGATTGAAAGGAGCTCCTTCAGAAGGGGTGAGACCCTCAGCGAGCTGTGGGGAGGCATGGGTACTCACCGGGGACCCGGGGGCTCCGGCAGAGCCTTTGTCACCCTGGGGAAAGGGAAGAAGGTTGTAAAAAGGGGTTTGTCACCCCGCGGAGCCAGGCCCGGCAGTGCAGGGCACTCAGAACCCATGTCTCCCATCCACCTCCTCAAGCCGGAGAGAGATGCTGGATCCCCAAGCAAGGCAGCCAGGTCAGGATGGGGCCGGCATTGAGAAGAGAGGGCTGTGCTGGGGATGCAGGAGGGCTGTGGCCGTTCTGGGTATAAATAGCACTAAAATAACACTCTGGGGCAAGTCTTGGAGAAAGGGCGCTTTCTGCTGGCTCACAGATCTCCCCTCTGTTCAGGCTCCCTCCCCGCAGCCCCGGGGAGGGTCTGGAGCCACAGCTGCCTGCCACAGCCCTCGGCCACGTCGCCGCTCTGCAGGCTCCCAACCTGGGTGTCCGGCTCTCCACCGACCCACCCCCCGCCCCCCC